CCGTGCTGGCTATCCCTCAGGATGTTGGCGTCGGCCAGTCCATTAAGGATGGCCTCTTTAATAAACTTTTCTAAGATCTTCCCCGAGATAGAAGTCAGGCTGATGGGCCTATAGTTAGCCGGATCCACTTTCCTCCCTTTCTTTAAGATAGGCACCACATTGGTCTTCTTCCAGTCTTCGGGCACTTCACCAGAGCACCAAGAGTTTTCAAAGTTCCATGCTAGAGGCTGGGCTATGATGCTCGCCAGCTCCTTGAGTACCCTAGGGTGTAGATTGTCAGGGCCAGCTGACTTGAAGGTATCCAAACCTCTCAAGGTGTTTTGAATCTGCCTAAACTCCTAACCCTATCTGGTCAATCAGGATCATATTAATTGTGAGGAGGGTAGAAGGCACAATCAAGAAAATGGTGGTCATATTCTTCACTTTATACACTGCTCTATGCTTGTCCTTTCACAGCATCTGATGAAGTGAGATCAAATTCACAAAAGCTTATGCTCTCTATATAAATTATAGCCTTTAAGGTGCATTATTTACCCTGACTTCTGGTCTCATTATGAACTGCTATAAATAAGCTGTAGTATACTGAGAAGAAGCAGTGGGGCACAATAATAAATAGCAGTGTGTTGATACCTTCCACCCAACATTCAAAACAGCTTTCCAGGCAATGAATTAAACATCACAGCAGTTTTGTCAGATAGTAGCATTATTCCCATTTTACAGAGACATAGACACAAAGTGAACTGTCCCTAGGCATGCAGCACATCCATGCAAAATGAGGAACACATCTCACTACTGCATTACAGTTCTGCATCTTACATCTTGCAATGAGAAATACCTTAGTAAGAGAGCCACACATGGTATAGCAGATACAGAAGAGTTTTGTTGGTGGCAGTAAGAAGGAGGAGGAAAACAGCATATAGTCCAAAGATAGAGGGTTGAAGAAAAATAAAAGTTTTCTGGCAGTACAAAGGCTGAGGTAGAATGAGGAATGACAAGGGTGTCTAAAGATGGGTAGGAGGGAGGAATATAAATGAAAACCAGGAGGGTCTGGCAGCAAATAGGAGAGAAAGAATGGGTAGAGTGGCTGTGGGAACAGGACAACAAACAACACTGTATTGATAGCAGAGAAGTAATGACTTGAAGGAATGGGAAAATAAGTGGACTGTGATGGGCCAGGGATCGACAGATACTTAGTTGTAAGGAGCATCTCAACTGCATCATTCTTGTCTCTGCTTTGGGGCTTGGCAGAGGCTCCCAATTGAGGGCACCGGTATACAGCCAAGGCAACTACAAACGTGACTATTTTATTTACTGTTTATATTAAATACAATATTCTCACTCCACAAAGAAAAACATTTCTTTATTGCAGCTTTAAATCTACTTTTAAATAAAAACTCTCAGATGCCGTACAAAGCAGTTAAGGCCTTTGCAGTAAACACTATAAAATGTTATAGAATTGAGAACTCATTACAAGGTTGTTTGGGGATACATTTATTGAGGTACCATTTATCAAAGCTTGGATGTGGTCAGTTTTTATAGAAAGCTGATGTAACTAACTTTTCATAAGTTGCTGAAACCAACTGCCTTTGGCAGAAATTTTTTGACAGTCTCACTAACCAAAAGCTATTTAGTTACCACTGTAAAATTAAGTCAAAATGTGCACTGGTGGCATACATTGTGGCAATGTCACAAGTTACACACCAGAGGAAATTCATAAGAATGAACGTATTTAGGAGTGGAGAGAAGCACAGATTATCCGGCATTTTCAAGTACCTAGGAGTAACTGATGTTTCACATACACGTTCAGTGACCCAAGAAAGCTTCCTACTGCTTGTATGCCTCAGACCCAGTCAGAGACAGTTCCTATTTTAAGAGAGACTTCAACAAGCTAACTTCCTAAACAATTTTAAGGTTACTGTTATTGAATGTTTTCTTAAAAGACATTATTTATCTACTGGTGTAGACTGAGCCATTATTAGTTATATAAATGATGATCCTAATTAAGACTGCTTTTGTGTCACAGTTCTAAGATGTCTGGGTCTTAGAAAAAATCAGTTATGTAACATGTTGCAGGGGTGTTTTGCCTATGGGTGCTTGGATGTAAGCTGAACCATTTTTATTGCAAATCGTGAAAGCTGCCAAGTTGAAACCTGGACTGCACAAAAAACTGAAAGAGTGGGAATTCCCATGACTTGGGCTAGTGGCTTGCCAAGCACTGAAGGGAAATGCAGAGTCCATGTTTCCTCTGACTTTTGATAAAGGCGGCATGAAACTTACCTCAGTGGTTTGAAATATCTATGTGATGGAGCTGCTGCTCCTGCTGCATTTGTAAGAAGTAGAGGTTTAGTCTACACTAGATAAAGGTTTGCCAGTACAGCTGTAACCAGCTAACCCTGTTAGTACAGGCAACAAAACAGTGCTTTTAGGTAGAGTGTTTCCTAGTTTCCAAAATGGAAGCTATTTTTATGAATATTATATTGCAATTTAACTAATTAACATTATTTGGTTGGACTACCCCGTGTTCCAGTCTAGAGGGGTGCCAGGAAGAGCAAGCAGGAACAAAAATATGGTCAGTCGAGACAGCTTGAATGAAACAGCGAAGTCTTCCCAGGTACCAGCCATGAGTCACACAGCTGTTTTTCCGAGGCTAGAGTCCAACGCTCAAAGGACTAACAATAGTTAAAAGCAGTCCCAAAAGGAAGAGACGAAACAGTCTATAGCTGCTTGACGCTGACAGACACACACTGGGACCGAAGGGCAAAGAATGCAGCAGTGCAATGTCTCTTCCAGCCGAAAGATAGGGGTGTCTGGGTTGAGCATAATTTTCTGAGACTTCCAAGGATAAAGTTTTGGTAAGACCAGATAATACATGGTATTTGTTGTTTTAACTCTCTTCTCTGATTGCTATGTGCCTTTGAACAAACAGACAATATATTTGGAAACACTTCTTTTGAGTCACTTAAACTAGCCACTGGAGACAGATTTACAGAGGAGAAGTTTTTTTACAGGTGCCCAAAACAGCTGGGTCTGTATTAACACAAACAGAACCAGGAACTGCTCCTGCCCATACATCTGGTCTGACTGGTAGAACCAGGGATTCCACCAAGAGAAAAGTGTAAGTGCAAAGCCTCTTATGTGAGAGGGACTGCAAAGGGGCCTAAGGCATTGCTGGCTACATAGCTGTGACAGTATGATGGATGAAAGAACAAGTGGGGTAGCTCTATGTTGCAGGCTAAATTGGACTGAACTGAAGCATACCAGTATGGGAGAAAGGCAGGTGAAAACTTGTCACTTAGAAGGACTGCTCAAGACAGACTGGGAAAGAAACTGCAGGTGCTGTTTCCTGTAAGTGACAACCAGCAGAAACACTTTTTTGCCTGTATAGCACTATCCACATACTAAGACTGACTGGTATAGAAATAAGAAAATCATACACTGTAACTTGCAACCAATACTGCTATCCCAGCAAATTTTCTAGCACAAATCTGGCCTAAGTCAGGGGAGCAGTTTCTATTACAGACTCCCATGTGCCTTTGCACTACAGGGTAGCATCAATAGGTACTGGCAGTGGTTTCCAAAGTTTTGAAATGCTAGTTAGAGGTCATCAAAGCATTTTACTGTATTGTAAAATAAAAAATATTTTTGATGTTACTGGACATTTAGGTCTTACTTTTTCCTATGATCACATCATGATGTTTCATTGAAATTACAGTTGCAAATCATTAGCTTTAATTCAAATATGTTTCAAGAAATGTGTTTTCAAACTGTATTTTAAGTAACAGCTAGTTCAAGAATTAATGTTCCTTTATGACCTCTGCACTGAAGGGTTTTGCTATTTTCATTGAGTAGGCTTCATATCTTGAAATGATTACCCAGAGATCCCCATGGAAGAAAGCTGTCATTGAAGTAGTTATGAGACAACATAATATGTTGTGTCCGCACTTCCCCTGGTAAAGTAAACCCAATATTCAGCAGTTGCATAGCTCAGTGAAAAAACTAAACTAATTATATAGTAAAAGGCCTAAGGACAGCAGCATATTACCCAGCACTACCATCCTCTTATCTATGCCCCTGTTACTAAAATGAAAATCCAGCTGCATGTCTGAAAGAAGAAGATTTTAATTAGAAAAATCTTAGGATTTAGTTTGTGTCTGTGAATCCTTATTTAACCACTGATTAATGACCATTTTAGAAAAAGAATATTTTTTTAAAAGGTTTGTTTTTTAACTGGCTATGAGCTCAGAGGATTTCCCTCCATATGGCTTCCAGCTAAACCAGGAAACCCAAAACCAAATTTGACATAACTGAAGTGGTGTTATGGGTTGTTGTTGTTTTTATTTTTAAATATGGTTTAAAAAGAGGGGGAAAATACTGCTAAAGATCTTTTTAGCCTTTTTGATACCTTATAAAGTACCAAAACATGGCACAAAATCCATTTTTATAATACTGCAGACTGGCTTAAAAATAACTTTTCACTGTAAGAAGGGATTCAGTAAGCAATATATATTCTAAAAATGTCCTTTTTTCTTCTAAATTAACTAAATGTTCTGCAAGACCTTTATTTACAGCATGCTTACATATGTGACAGTCCCTACCAGCCTCAAAGGCCATTTACAAAACCAAACTGCTTTAAATATGCATGCTCTTATGTCATTTTTGTTTAACAAATACAAAGTCCCTAAGAAGATGCGAATATTTACTTTTAAATGTATTTTACCTCATGATGTTTCTTCTTATTTGGTAAGTAGTAGGAGTTTAAAAAAAGCAAAGTCAGTCACTGAATTTTAACCATATCAGTATCATGACTTTTATGGTATCTTAATTAGGCTTTGTGGGTTTTCTACACTTGAAAACAAGCTAGGCAAAAGTATCATCTGTACTTAGTAGATTAATCATGTCCCTGTTCTAGACATTTCTCTTTGTCTCACAATGGGTATCAATCAACAGTGGCTGAAAAAGCACACACTACTCTTTCAAATGCATTATTGCTGAGCATACTTTTAAATCAAATTGGACACCTTTGTTGTATGGAACACCCTGATCAGAGGACATGCAGAGTCAAAGGGTTCCTCTTTGATCAATAATAGCCCCTTAACATGTAGCCATCAGGGTGCTTACTGATTACAGAATAAGGCCCCTTCCTTTTTCTTCTTCTTGTCACATTAGTGCTAATGGTGTCTAACAGGCTGTGTATTAAGTGTAAAGAAAACACAAATTATCTGACTCACTTCAATTTACCATGTATTATTAATTAAATACTTTCCAATGTACCAACAAAGTAATTTTGGGATGGTCTTGCCTGGAAAATACATTCTTGAGTAACAGCCCATGTTCTATTAGTTTTCCCTTAGAGGCATCATTACATTTTTGTTGCACATTAGACACAGTATTTTTTACTATACCTTATCCCCTTTCTCTTCGGGTTCATCCTCATTGAGGAATTCTCGTTTTGGATAAGGAATCTGACAGCCAGCAAACACACTGAAATACAATAAACAGCAAATTAAAAGAAAACAGTAAATTCGTTTAACACCATCTCTTTCAGGGTTTTTTTTTCTTTTGCTTTTATGAGTCCTAGTTATTAGAGTAAGTGGCACTTTGAATTATCCAACATACAAATACAGCAGGACATGCACTGATTTTAATTTGAACTCTGCTTGCTTTTGGCCTGCTGCCTGCCTTCAGAATTCACAGCAGATCTGAATGAGTACAAATGGCAGAACGATTATTTGCTGTCAGGACACCACATTTGTTCACTTGGTCATTCAAAACAACAAGAAATTCTGCAGCATTTGGCTGGGAGTATGTATGGCACAGTGTAGTGAAAACCTGTTCCAAGCCAGTTAATGTCATGGGAACCTTCTCATTGCCTTCAACCCTTTTGGATCAGGCTCCATACATCCTAGCTGATATGTGTAAAACTGGATACAGTCTCTGAAGCCTTTCATAGGGAAAAAAATTGCTTTGAGACCAAGTTAACTAACAAAATACAAAACACCATTTAGTATCTAGAGTAAGCAGTTTTAGCATCTTAATTGTCATGCTACCTGATTGCTTTGAAATCTGAGGGAACTAGATCAGTCTGGGACAGCAGCATATAAATACTTGAGAGAGAGACACTGGTAGACCAATTCCCATTTGAATTTCAACATTTCTTGGTGGTGGCTGGCTCTAAGAAGGCACTTCTGTTACAACCCAATCAGCGTTTTGAAAGTGCTAAACTGTATCTCTACTAGTTACTAATTGGCATATCAAATAATTTGGGCTAACTCAATTTCAAGAACATAAGGATGAACAAAAAAACTCCTAAAGAAAACATTTTTCCTAGTCAAGCCCAGATCAACATGTGGAACCATTCTGATCCTCCATACAGATCGACAGCAGAGCTGGAACATTTAGATCCACAGCAATAGACCTCTAGCACTTGAGGTGATGAAGTTGTTGGCTTCTTTAGTAATCTGTTGTTCTCTAGATGGACCAGCCACTAGACAGGAATGAGAGATGTTTTGCTAGCTATCTGCTGAAAGCAAAGCAATGATGGATTCTGACTTTTATTCCAGATCCTAGTGTGGGAAAGTGCCTACTGATTATAAATCCTTCTTCCTTTTCCCCTGCACATTTCCCTCCCTGCTGTTATTTCTTCTCAATACCCTCTCTTTACCACCCCCACAACCCATGTCATCTCCAGTCTGATCTTCTCCCCAATGCCTCTCTCCTAAGCAATGAGAGCAGAAGAGAGAATTTTTCAGTTCCTCTAGCTGCTTTCAGTTTCTGTCACTGGATACACTTCATTGTCCTGGCACGTGGGGGGAGCAGGGGCAGGCAAAGTCCTACTAGCTCCTCCAGTCCTGGAATGGAGCATGCCCAGTTACAATAAGAATCTTTGTAAATCTCGGAAGATAAACTAACAAGCTTCTACAGAGCATGCTTGAACTGAAATTTTTCAGAAGCTTAAAACTAAACCAAATTTGAGTGGACTTTCACAGAGGCAGCAAATAATAAATACCTTAAACCACAGAAAGACGCTCCCTAATTTATGATCCAAAACTAGAGCCTCTCAGGAACATGTTAGTAAGATTTTTAATGTGGGCAAAATAACAACATGGGCCAAGCCATTTCAGGTAAAATTTTCCAGAAAAATTCAACCTGAGTCAGATACCAGGCATGGAAAATTTCAGTCTAAATGATTAAAAGTTGTAGTGACAGTCTTATAATAGAAAATTTTAGGCAACCTGCCGTACAAGTTGTCAAATGCACTACATCTCCATGGCCAGAGCTGAACCACAGGGCTCTTTGCTGACTGGATTTGGACCCAGCAAGTGGGGTGAATGGTGGCTATGCCACCTGCAACCCAGATGGCATAGCTATTTAGGCTTGATCCAGCCTGTAGGCCAGGGGCAGGCAATTATTTCAGGTGGAGGGCCACTTCCTGAGTTATGGCAAGCCATTGAGGGATGCACCCCTTGACAGGTGCCCTGCCTCCTGATTGCTATCTTGGTACCAGAAGTCCCGCCCCCTAACCCTGACCTTTGCCACCAGAAGTCCCTCTCTTTGCCCCCCATAAGTACTACTTGCAGCAAGGGGTTTCGCCATCTCGGAACCAGAAAAATACCAAATTATATTCTAAAAATCAAACATGTACTACAACATTAATTTCATTTAAAAAAATACTTTTGTCCTATTTTACATGTGTTTGTGTAGTGTACATACAGGTGATAGTATAATAGCTTAAAATGAAGTCTTACTCTTGTATATTGTGGGAGGGGGTGGTTAGGTGGGTATAAGTTTGTGGGTGTGTAGTTAATTGGGGTATGGGGGAGGGTGTGGGTATGTATCTGGGGTTTGTGGAGGAGTGGATAGGCATGAGGGGTATAGGTGTGTCTATGTGGGGTGGGGGAGCATGTGGGGGGGTGTCGATGTGTGGGGGTATGAGGTTGGTGGGGGGATGTGAGTGTGGGAGGAGGGTGGCTGGTTGTGGCATTGCGTGGAAGGGAAGGGCTTGCCCACAGCCCTCCCCACCCACCCCAACAGCAGGCCCTGGGGCACTGTGTTCCCGCTCACCGTCACTTCCCTCCTCTCATCTGCCACTGCTGCCCTTCTCATGCCACTTCCCCATCCTCCCCTGTCCCCCCCCCCCCTTGCCACTCCAGTGCCACGTCCCAGATGTACAGCTGAGATCACAGCAGGAACTGGACCAGCCCACTGCATGGAGCCAGCTGAGAATTGTGGGGGCTGGACTGGTTCCTGCTGAGTCCTGCAGCCTGGCGCTGCAGCTGGGACTCACGTGGTGCAGGAGCGGCAGGCAGGAAAGCAGAGAAATAGCTGCAGCAGGTGGTGGAGGAGTGGCAGTGAGCAGGTGTGCGGTGCACAGCGACTGCTGGGCAGAAGCACAAAGCCTGCACCAGGGCCAGGGTCACTGGGAGCCCAGGGTGGGGCGCAGGCTACCAGGGGCTCTATGGAACTGGGCTGGGCTTAGCCAGCAGGGAGATGGGGGGAGCCAACTCATCTTCACAAAGCCCCTGCCGGCCCAGTCCTATGCTCCTGCCACCCTACTTTGGGCCCCGCCAGCACTGGCCCCAGGACACTGGTGTGAGCCCTGTGTTCCCACCCAGCTGTTGCTGCACTCTGTGCACCCACTCACTGCCCTTTCCCCCCACCTTCTGCAGTCATTTCCTCAGTCCTGCCCCCCCCAAATTGGATAGAATAGCCTGGTGGGCCAGATCTGGTCCATGGGCCGTATTTTGCCATTCCCTGCTGTAGGCATACATTTGACACCTTTGCTGTGGAAGATATTCCTACCAGCTCAAAAGGATTTTGATAGTTGTATAACACCAGTTGAAATTATTTAACCATATCACAATATCATTACTGGCAGAATTCACAGTCTCTGAGCAGGAGAGTTTGTGGATTCTAATAAAGTCTGATTTGTCAAAAATAAATCAGAACTAAGTGTATTTTATACATTTTCTGAATGACAGATGCCCCAAAGGGACAGAATAGGTTTCTGAGAATCATCTCTGTTCCTTCATCTTCCCATCTTTACTGGGTAAAGCAATTTCAAAGTTTTTGTTCTTTCCTACACTACAGGTTGTCTTGAAAAGTTTTGAGTTACAATCATGGGGGTGAGGGAAACTGGTTCAGCTACAAGCATATTTCTTCATTTTAAATGGTCACCAGAAAAGCAGCATCCCAGTAAAAAGCACAGGAAAAGCAAGACATACTCTGATGTAGGTAGTGGATCCTCCTGGAAGTAGGGATCCTGCAAAGCCTGCTCTGAGGTAATTCTTTTTGTAGGATCCATAGTGAGAAGTTTTTGAAGCTGTAGAACAGAACATCACAAACAGTCAACAGCTTAGGAAATGACCAGTTTTGAAACCCCCGGCTTGTACACTTCCCCTTCATCGTGATTCGGTAAGCTACAAATAGCACACTTACAGAAGAAAAAATGGCATTTCATGTAGTGCAAAACTTTTCATTTCAATAACCTTCTATAGTATCATGACTATGGAGTTCTGCTGGCATAAGAAATTTAATTAATTGTGCATTGGTTTGAGCAGAACACTGAAATAAACTGGACCTAAAAGCAGTACCACAGACCCATGGACGATCTCCCCAACTAAAAAATGATCCCCTGATGGCAGAGATGGCACAGAAACTCTTTGCTATCCCCTACTGCTGCCATAACAGGGAAAGAGAAGCATAGAGGAAAGCAAGATCCCAAATGCAAGGCCCATTGGTGTTAGTTATGGCTAATGCATGAAAAAGCAGTCTGAAAAGAGCTGTAATTGTGCATAGGGACTTGTCCTGCACAGAGGCTGCACTAGGACCAGAGAAGTGCACACAGGAACTTTACACTGCATTTATGCACATACCCCTGGATCTGTCATCTCAGCAACTCAGTCTGTCACAGCCATACTGATAGCATTGCTGTCATATGAGAGAAAGCATTCCCCCTCCAGGAGGAAAGGTGATGCCAAGCTCTCTCCCCGCTATATGGATATAATCTATAAACTGATGTACAACTATACAGATCACTTCAGCCATCTTTAGTATGTAGCCAGTCTTCAAGTTTTTTAAATACAAGTTTAATTGCACATAGTAGATGGCAGCTAATCTGTTAAAATATTAAAAACCACAGCTGAAAAGTTCAATGCATGATTTAAATTTTGTAATTCCTTATGCTCACACCCTTTTGCAGTAAGCAATAAAAGACAGAACAGTATTCATGTTACAATAATATTTCAAGGTAAAATAACACCTAAGCATTAAAAATGATTTTGGAAATGTACTTACCAAAAGGAAAACTTTGCTGTCAGGCTTGACCTTGTGTTTCTCCATGTATTTTATGAGGCTACTATTGGCATATCTGGAAAATTGCCAAGCAAAAACATTTCAGAAGTAACAGAGTGTAAGACTCAGGAAATGTATCAGGCAGTAAAGAAAACTCATTAACTAAGAGAGATTCATTCCCTTTGTATTGCATTTGCTAGCAGATATAATGTCTTATCGATAACCTGTCATTTTCTCTATTCTGTAAACCATGAATATATGTCCTAACTTTTGCTCTTGGTACTTACATAAACTGTGAGTATTTATTTCAATAGAATATATAACTGCACTGCCTCAGACAGGCACAGTGATTCCAACAGTGTGGCTGTTCAGCGACCACTTGATACCTGGGTGCTTGTTGCAATCACTTCTCTTAGTTGGCTGGGAAATAGCTTTCCCTTTTTTGCAACAAAAACACTATGTGGAGTTTTAGTATCTACTCAATTCAAAATACAGGAACTTCTCACTTAATGTCCTTCCGGTTAACACCGTTTCGTTATTACGTTGCTGATCTATTAGAGAACATACTCATTTAGAGTCACACAAAGTTTGGTTATAATGTTGTTTGGCCGCCACCAGCTAGTAGGTAACTACTGTGACAACTGAATTCACTTAACATTGTTTTGCTTAAAGTCACATTTTTCAAGAACGTAACTACAGCGTTAAGTGAAGAGTAGCTGCATGTGGAATATATATTTTGCTTTTAATATGCAGATATCAGGTATAATTATTATTTGACAGCGATAAACTTGATGCACAGCACAGAAAAGCTCTTATGATTGGTCTAAGGTCACTGTCACGATACAGCCTCCCCAGGGATGGCCGTGATGTCCCTAGAGCCCCATGACTGTGTCAGCTCCACCCTACGGATGCCTACGAATCTCCCCTGCCACGTCTTGCTGGTTTAAATAATGAAAATTGGGAGGCTGCTGTCAGGTTGCTGCTCGGTCACAGTCCTGACAGACTCCTCTAAACGCTGTAGGTTGTTGGACCCTTTACTGGGTCCCACACTCGGGAGGTGCCTTACAATACCCCCAAAGTCTTATGAGCTAGATGTGTGGCTCCAAAACCTCCCCTATACCACACCCCATGCCTCGCAGGTGGCAATTAGACATTGTCCCTTTTTATGAGACCCCCATCTAGCTTGGCCTCCTGTCATCGTGCACTCTGGTGCTGGGCTCTCTGCAGCCCTGTCTCCGCGCCCTCTCTGGCGCTGGGCTCTCCACACTGTAGTGTGCCCCAATGAGATCTCCTCCCCAATAGCCTCAGCCTGGTCCACCAGTTTAAATAACAACAGAACACACAAGCCCATGGGCTACAACACAACAATAACATAGGTCTACCATCTATCCCTTTTAAGAAGGCAAGCTTCTCTCTCAGTTTAATGGGTCTCCTCCCCACCAGCACTTATGAGCTCCTATAGACCCTTAATCCTACCAGCATCAGAACAAGCAGCCAAGCATCTCCAAGTAGCTTCCTCTATGAGCTCCTTCCCCCTTGGCTGTTGCCAGAGAACTAACCCTCTAGTTCCAGCCCTGGGGTTTATATGTGCCCAGGGTTCTGCCTTCTTCTGGTCAGCTGACCAGGTGCAGGCTAATTCCCTCATTAGCCTGCTGCCACAGCAACCTGCACCTGTAGGGGTTATGCCTGGCTCGTAGGGCCCTCTCTCTAGGCAGTTTCTGCCCTTAAAGGAGCATGCACACCTTAGTGCCCTGCGACAGTCACATAGTGGATCTGTGGCAAAACTGGAAGAAGAACTACATCTCCCAAAGGCTGGCCTTGAGCTTTATCGATATGTATGTGCTGCCCTTTGTGCTCTTGCCCTTCCTTTTCTACAAAACAGGACAATCTGATTAACTGAGCTAACAGTCGCATGATAAATTTAGAGGATACTAATCAAAACAATATTCTTCCAAAACCTAAACAAGACTTAAGATACCATATTTTCTTATATGCAACACACCCTTTGTTTCTGTAAATCAGAGTTAAGATAAAGGCTTTTACTAGAGTCATGACTGTATACAGCAAGAACAGAACCTAATCTTCAAGTGACTCATCCTCCCTTTCCTGCTCAACTAAAACTAAAACCTAGCTATTGTTGAAGACTGGTGTCTATGAATGGATCTATGTTTTTGACAAAGGAGCTAAAGAATCTTCAAGACTGTAAACTAGGAGGAGAGAGACCAGGAGCAGCTAGCAGACAGCAAAACTGCCCTAAGAAGGGTTTGCCTGATTAGTGAAACACCAAGATTATTAAAAATGAAAGACAATCATTAACATCTGTGGAGTGAAGAACAATGAGCCATTAAATCAACTGAATCCTCAGCTGCCTGAACAGTAATGCCACAGCTACTGCAGTATGAAGCAAAAATCAAGGCAAGGTACTTCTATCCTGGGCAGAAAATCAGCTTCTCTACTTAATACATGTACCCCAAATTTGGGGGACTGATTTTTGGGGAAAAGGTGCATGTCATGTGCAAAAAAATATGGTAACAGAAGCCAACTTCTAGTGATAATTTTTGTATAACTGCTACATACAGTTCTTAATACCTGTGTGTGGTAGATAATCACTTACGTTGTTCTCCTAAAGTCTTTTTGAAGTGTGGGATATTCTGGCATCTTCCTTATATCTTCCCAGTCTTTATCTTAGAAAAGAAAAATCAATTGGGCAGTTTAAAGTGTAGAATAAGCAATACACTTGTACACAAACTAGTATTTGTTTGAAAATTTCTATTACTTGTTCAATATTATTGTTCTGCAATTCCCAACGCTTCCTCGTGCAGAGGTTCCACATCCATCATACTGCCAACTTTCATACAGCTATTCAAAACAGCAAGTCATTTCCTTTTTGCTGAAATCCAACTCAAAGGCTTTATGGCTGACCTTAAAAGTAAATTACCTGCAGGGAATCCCATTACACTGAAAATGCGATCTAGCTGATCATGATGAAAAGGATTACTTGTTTTGATGTCTTCCTGACGACAGTGAAAAATAGGTTCTGAAGTCAATAGTTCAGCAAATATGCAGCCAATTGCCCATATATCTAGAAGAGATGGAAGATCATTTATGTGAATTCACTGAATTCTATCAGCCTGGTCTCAGTTACAGCATAAATACGGCTTCAACATCTCACAGTGAAATTCATTATAAAACCAAAGCTTTTAAAGCATTAAATAAACTAATATACAGGAAAATGGAATAAATGCATCACATTTTCAGATGCAAAACAAATCAAGCTCTTGTAAACTCCATCTGAAGCAGTGCTTTGGCAATCAAACTGATCCAATAAGTGGAAACTGTAGCCCGCCCAACCTCTGCTGACAACTAATCTTCAACTTAATCTTTAAATAATCTTCTGATTATCTAAAACAAAACATAACATCCCAGAAAAGATGTACTGAAATAACAGCTATATCAGAAACTTTAGAATAATTTCTCAAGATGATCAAAACACATTCTGAGAAGGAAAAATTTATCATCCTTTGTGTGCCTAGGCTGTAATTCCATAGTACACCATGCAGATCATTTAAACTGGAAGTGACCAACCAGCAGCACATGTGCCACAAGTGGCACAGGCAGCCTCCATGTGTTGCATACAGAGGGGAGAGACAGGAGTGAGAACAGGCAACACAGCAGCAGATGAAGTAGGAAGCAGAAAACAGAGCAACAGAACAGGCACACAGCACAGGGCAGGGAGCAGGAAGCAGAACAGCAGATTCGGCAGGACAAGGGAAACAGAGTGGGACTTGGGGATGGTGTGGGACTACTTTGTGGCACACCTGGCAAAAAGGCTGGCTCTCACTGATTTACATGAAAGCAAATCTAGTGACTTCCATTTGATGGGAAGATATTTGACGTTTTTTCATTTTTGTATGGTGTTCAAAACAGAATGTACAATCTACCTGTAATCTCAAATAAGATATATAAAGTCTACGGACTGTAAGTGATCTAGCTAATGGTCACCAAAAAGTCTTAGAGTTCTGTCCTACAAAAAAAAGTTTCATTACATTGAGCACCCTAAAATGTGAAGTAGGAGATGTGGCAATGGGAAATATTGGCAGGAAAAGAATATCTGGTACAATATATTGTTAGCATCCCTTAAAAAAGATGTTGAGGTTAGGAAAATAAAAGTTATGGATAAGAGAGTATAGATTCATGCCTGATTTTAGAAGCTGAACTAGCTAATCCAGGAAGCTTTTTCCAACTGTCTTGTTTCTGATTACCTGAATACTTCAATCAACTTTTTCCTATTTTAAGAAGTGCAAGGATAAAATACTTATTTAACTACAGACTAGTTCACTAAATTCATGACAACTAACCTTTAATAAGATACCTGAAGCCAGAGAACATAACAACATAAAAATCAAACCTGATCAATACTATATGGACTGTGTTCTAAAGATTATATGATGCCTTGTGGAAAACTAAAAAATGCATCATGCCAACATATTTTTCCTATAGAAGGGCTATTAGATCAGTGATTCCCAAAGAGTGTGCTACATTGTGCAGAGAGCAGAGGTGCACTGCAAAAAAATGACACTTTTCTTTCTTTCTTTTTTGGGGGGGGATTTTAAGCTGAGCCAGCATGGCCATGTCCCCCAGACATGGGCAGAATGCAGCAGCAGCTTGAAGATATCCAGTCCTGGCACAGCTTCCCAACAGCTGGAATCTGGTAGGGGGAGGGTTGGGAGAAGCAGTGGCAGCACTGGGACTGGATGTCTGGATACTATTGCTGCCTCACCCTGCCTGCACCTTGGGGATATGGCTATGCCACATTCTGCTGTGCCCTGCTCTTCATGTTCAATGTGCATCTCCCTTTAGTCCCAGGTCCAGCTGATTGTGGGCAGCCTAGAGAGCTCTGACCCAGCCCTCTGGGGAGCCCTTGCCAACAGGTGTCCCTATGCCCCACTCCCAAACCCAACTATGCCTGTGCCCTGCAACTTCTCAGAGCAGCACAGAGTTTGTTTATAACCTCGCACCTCAGTCCTGGGACACGCAGCAAAGCGGCTCCATGCACTCTGTCAGAGATGCTGCTGCCCCAGTTCAGCCTGACACCATTTCCCCTGAGGAGAGCTTTCTCCATGTTTGCATCGCCGTCACTTGTTCCAGCCCCCCCGCTTCTCAGCTGCAGTGTGCACGCAGCTTCTAGTCCTTGGGGAGCTGCAGCCAGACCCAACATCTGCAAACTGCATCTGTGTAGTCACCACCACTTTTCGCCACTCCCCTTTCAAGGTGTAAGAGTGAAATGTGCTTCCAATTTTAATCCAGAAAAAAGTGTGCTCAGATATCATAAGCTAGGGAAACACTCTAATAGGTCATCCAAGTCTCGCTCTTTGTCCATAAAACACTGTTCTTTTCTGAAGTTTAGTTTTCTAAGTCCCAAATAATAGGATTTCCCACTTTTTTCAAGAAATACGATCCCCCATAATTCACTATCAGATTTTCTCCCTGATGATTAGCCTGTTTTCCCTTTCATAATTTCACCTCATTACTTCTTGGCAGAGCAGAGCATGTTATAAGCATTACATCACTTTCTCAGGATTTATCGTGTTTGGGTTTTTTTATTACCAGGAGTATTTGCATGAAAACAAGATTTTAGGTACTTAAGATTTTATCTGCTCTGGCAGTGGGTACAGATTAGTAGTCATGACATTTCTATTTGGAACTAGTGAAAAGACTTAAATCATTCTGCCTTACACCAGCAAAACTTTTAACTCACAAAGTAAAATATACAGTGATCTCCTTTTGGTATCAAAGATGAACTCATATATTTCACATCAAATTATGGCTCCTGACTCCCTCCTGCCCCCCAGGAGCTAGACTGGGTGGGAGAAAGATTACATCTGGAGGATAGATTCAAAGTTCCTGGATCTCTCAGATATGAATTAACATAGAACTCATATCTGTCCTATCCTCTTGGCTTCACAGAGTTGTCAACATGATATTGGCAGTCTCTCTAAAATAAAAATGTATTTTTAACTATGCTTGAGTTAATAAATTCAGGTCGTTTCAATTACTCAAGCAGCACACCAGACACCAGCATACATTCATTATGATGCTTTTCATTCTTTACATTCATAAAGATGAAAAAATAATAATTAATAAATTGAGTCTGTTATGCTTCTTGCTGGACTTCCGTCAAGTTCAGGGTATTATAAAACTATCCCCCGAATACTTATTAAAACTACAGAAAATCTGGAGTTTTCATTTTTCATATAATCAGAGATTAAGTGGCTGGAATAAGCCACATGGCTTGCAGTCCAAGTAAACCAGGATATTACAATAATCCTTAACTTTTATGTAACCTACTCTTAAACAAATCCTTGGGAGGTCCTATAATTGGCCTTAGTATTAGGACTTTTTTTTCTTTCAGATACTTCTACTCTGGTTTTGTATTACAGTACTGGTATTCTATGTTAATTACTTACTATGTGGGTGTTTCTGTGGGAGGAATAATTTTCAGGGATCAAATCCTGAAAACAGCATACTAGTGTCTGTGCCTTTGTCCACAGAATGGACAGTCAGTGAAGAAAGCTGCTGGAGCAAGCAAAAATTTTCAATATGGAGGAAACTGAGAAAGAAAAAAAGTGATATGCAACAGGTGTTTGTAATGTCCACAGGGAAGTCATTTCATCCTCAAACCCAAGATGAGCAGTAGGCGGGACCTGCATCCCCCTTTACTGCAGAAGGACTGGGCAGATGCTGAGAGAGCCAAAAAGTGCCCGATCCTTGTTGGGATAGTACAGCCCCAGCCCCTTCCCTGAGGCACAAGTAACAAGCAAAATGCCTTTGTATGCCACATTCTGGCACATGTGCCGGGGCTTGCCTACCCCTGTGCTACTCCATGCCCCTGACCATCTTTCTTGTCGTTCCCTGAACATTTTCTAGTTCCATTGTATCCTGTTTGATATTACAGCGACAAGAACGGTACACAGTATTGAAGATGCAGGTGCACCATGAATTTATACACAGTGGTAGGATGCTTTTTATTTTGTTTACAATTCTCTTCCTGATAACACCCAGCATTTCATTGACCTTTTTTTTTTTTTTTTTTTTTTTTGGTTACCAGTGAAAACTGAACTGACATTTTTAGAGAACTACCTAAAATGACTCAAAGGGCTCTTTCCTGAGTTGTAATTGATGGTTCAGAGCCCAGTATTATGTAGGTATAACTAAGGTTATTTTTCCCCACAGGCATTATTTTACACTTGTAAATATTGAAGTTGATCTGCCACTTCTTTGCCTACTCAGCTTTGTGAAATCTTTCTCTTTCCTCAGCTCTTTACTATCAGCTTGGGATTTGACAACCTAGTATAATTTAGTGTCACCTGGAAATCTGAAAGTTCACCTTCAACTCCCTTTTCCAGGTCCTTAATAAAAATGTTGAACTAAACCAGGCCCACCACAGATCCCTGCATATCCCACAACTGACCTTCCCCTACTGTGAAAAGAAACCATTTAGCTTTACCCTTTGTTTCTTATCTTTTAACCACTTTGATCCACAAAAGAGCCTTCCTTCCAAACCAGTGGCAACTCAGTTTTTTTAAGAAACTTTGGTGAGAGGCCTTGTCAAAAGCTTCCTGGAAATCCAAATATGTATCAGCTAATCCGCTTTGTCCATATATTTGTTAATGCCTTCAAAGAACTTCAGGAGATTGGTGTGAAAGAATTTTCCTCTACAAAAAACATGCTGATTCTTCCTAAGCATATCATATTTATCCATGTAACTGCTGATTCTGTTCTTTTCTAGAGATTCTACCAACTTTTCATGGATAGAAATAAAACTTACTAATTTGTAGTTCCCAAGATCACCTCTGGAGCCTTTTTTGAAGATTGGTGTTGGCAACTGCCAGTCCTCTGGCACAGAGGCTGTTTGTAACGACAGGTTATACACAACTGCTAACAGTTCTGCTATTTCACAACTGAATTCTTTCAAAATTCTTGGGTGAATGCCATCTGGTCTTGGTGACTTACTAGTGCTTAATTTATTCATTTGTTCTAATACCTCCTCTATTCCTACCTGAATGTGATTTAACTCTTCAG